ACTGACGACGACCAGGGATATTGTTGTCCACCTAAATCGAGCAGCGAGATCTACAGACAATCTGTATTTGTTCAATTTGAAGTGTACTAGAACGTGTTTCCGGCTTCCTGATATGCCCTAGCCATCAAGAACTTCCAGAGTACTCCTTACATCGGGTGAGCAGACAACCATTCAGAGAGAAGATAGATTCAGAATTTAATAACTTATCACTTTAGAGGGGTTGAGAAGAAGAAGGTTGCATATGCTGTGTACCAGGTTGGATTAGAAGTCACGCAAAGGAGACAGCATATGGCTAACAGATAAGAGGAATTTCATAGATATAACATGCAGAGAAATAGAGTTGCATATGTTGCAATCCAGGTCGGATCTCTTCCAATCATGCAAAGGGTGCAACATATGACTAACAATAGGAAAGAAAGAAAATGATATTCTACAGACCTAATTTATCGGAATTTACCAGTCACCCCATCCAACCGGAATTAAGGATAGAATCCACATATCGAGGAAAAGTGAATCCACAGTTCTAGATACAGGTTATTTAATGTGACCGGTAGATTCCCATGTATATCTCCCTGCTCAACCTATCTGAGCGTCGTGACATCAGGTTAAACGGATCTAACTAGGTCAAAGTTTGTCAAGTCCTTCAAATTTATTAGGTTCAACTTTTCCTAGTCAACTCCATATAAAATCTTTCGTGCCTACCAGCACATCGAGCACAGAGCGTAGACGATTCAACTTAGGTACGTTACGCCGATTCAGATTGCCCGTTATCACTTTCCAATTTCATTTCCTAAAACATCGCCCTCAAGCACATTTCATTAACACCATATTTTTTATTTGACTTTTTTTTTAATTTTCTAATTTTTGTTTTGTTTTTATTTCTCCCCCTAAATTTGTGCATAGGAGAGAAACGAAAATAAATGTGCAAATTTAAACTATCCTAAAACAAAAATTAGTCTTTAAAGCGAATCAGCTTAAGCAAAACTCAGGAGTATAGAGAAGAAAACTCAAACCGTAAGTCACCGATTGAATTTGCATCCAAAAGGTCTGAGAGCAGCACGCGTAAACTCAGAACAGATCCGAAAACTCTTCATGTCATTAAGCACAAACCCCGTGAGTGATCCCTTCCTTTCTTCCCTTCCCGCAAAGAACACATACTCTCAAACAAAAGTCTGAATGTTGTACAGTTGAGAGATGTACCCTATCATGTGCCTGGAACAACCACTACCAACAAACCGAAGTTTGATGATATGCCTCCATGGCTGCTCCGACACAGAGCGGGATCAGTTGGTCTTTGGAACCCAGTCCATTTTGAAACTGGGTCGACCTTTGTCATCAATGCAGGGTACTCTCTCCCATGACATATCCTGCTTATCACAAACAGAAGACGATGAAATATTAGAGTCATTAGAAGAGTTGGGAGTTTTCACCTTTGGAATCCATCTATATTCGGGTTTAACCCATTTCTTGTTCGATCTGATGGGTGCCTCGGCACTTGCTTTGGAACTTGAAGCCGGTTGCCAAGATGACTTTGACCTAGCCGGTCTTGGTTTTGTTGGGGCATCTCTTGGATTGGACTTCTTGGTCGGCATTCCCTTCTTGCCCTTGGGATTTTGATTCTTGGCCTTGGAAGATTGATTCTTAGCCTTTTGCGTGTTCCAGTCACCATTGTCTGAACGTGACCTTGAGGGGTTTCTTTTGGAGTATCTCCCTCTTGGCGTGTTCTGCCATCCTTGTGCGTAGTAAGGAACGTATGCGTGATTTGGACAGTTCCGGGCAATGTGTCCAGGTGTTCCATAGTGAAAACAAGTCTTTTTCTTCACTGTTAAGTTGTTTCTTCCTGCCCCTGGTGGCGTATCATTGCCTTGACTCTTATTGTTCCCACATACACACTTGCAACAGGCACTCTGTTTCACTGGAATTGGTGGCTTGTATTTCTCAACGGTAGGTTGATTAGAAGCAGTTGAGTTCGAAGCAACAGATTCAGAGTTCAAGGAGATGTTAGTTTGTTCAATGGTTTTCTCCTTGTTCTCATCTTCTGCTACTTTTCCTGCACATGAAGTAGAAACATTAGTATTTTCAATATTAATAACTCCTCCTGACACAAATCCAGCTCATTTTCCATATCAAAGATGTGGCTCCCTATCAATTTCGTCCTGTGTCATATGGATGGATGTGTAGTTATGATTATAAGGAGGAGGTACACTATCATACCTTAGACCCTTGTTTTGATTTTCTTTGAATTTTAATTGGGTTTCATATAAGGATTCGACTTTCTGACTTGACGTAGTATAATTTTTCAAACTAACGTTTGTTTTTCCACGCTTAATTTTCAGTGCGTCAAGTTCTTCAGTTACAGCAGCAAGTTGTCTCTTAATATAGTCATAATTTTCACACTTGTTGCTATACTCTTCTTGAAGCTTCCTAAAGTCTTTGGTTTTTGCTTCTAATTCAGCCTTCAAGGGTTTCTATCCTTTCCTGAGTTGATATCCTTCATATCTAAGGTCCTCAACTTCTCTTTTAAATAAATCAATTTGTTCCCGAAAAAATTTAATCGTGGCTTCACAAGCTGGAGTACATGTAACTTCAGTGACCGAAAGGTTTTCAGAACTCATTGTTTCTCTACACTTCAAAGCATCAAGTTCTTGAATTACATCATCAAGACCAAGATGATTGAGATCTTTTGTCTTCTTGATGATGGCCACATTCATATCCCACGATTTCAGAAGTGAATTCAATAGCTTTTTGTTTATCTCAGATTTGGTCAAAAAGATCCCATTAATATTCATCTCAGTAGTGAGTGTGGTAAATCGCTGCAACTGAGCTTCCAGGGTTTCTCCAGGGATATAATCGAACATGTTGAAATTTTGTCTTAAGATATCCTGACGACTCTCTTTCATGTTTTCAACTCCCTCGTAGACCTTAAAATCAATTAAAAACCATAACTAGAAGCTAAGATAAAAATTAAACGTCAAATTTAAAATGCATTTTTTTCAAAAGTGAAATTTAAAAAATTAAACTCAAAAGTCAAACTTGAAAAGTCAAACAGAAAAGTTAAATTTGAAATTTTAAAAGTTAAACGAAATAGTTAAAGTTTAAAATCAAAGATCAAACTTGGAAGTCAAAATCAAAATTTTAAATAAAAAGTCAAAAAATAAAAGTCAAAAATAATTTTTTTTAATTATTTATTATTATTATTATTATTATTATTATTTTATATAATTTTTTTTTAATTTTGGATGAAAAAGGAATTTAAAATTTAAAAGGAATTGAATTTTGGGTTAAAAGTGGTAAAATAGGAAAACATGCTGCGAAAACAATGGATTATAGTTTAATTTTCGAGGGGATATAATAAGTGATCTGGTAGTTGAGTTGGATAAGGTGTTGAACTGATGAGTAGGAAGACACGTGTTCGAAACCCGGCACCTCCAATGACCTTCTTATTTTTTTGTAAAGTGCGAGTACGAAGGCTGATGCTTAGAAGTGAGGCGAGGACGAGGTCTTCACGTGCGAGGATGCTGCTGCGAAGCCGAGGTGCGAGGTTGCTGAGCTGTACTGCGCGCTGGCCGCAAACTCCGGCCGTATACTACGATTCCAGCCTTAAGCTCCTCGGAAACCCTAGCTGCCGGCGCCACCCCCTCGCTGGTTACGACTAAAAACACCGTTTTTTGCCTTTTTTTGCTCCAAAACTCGATCAAAAACCCGTTTTTACGAAAAACGCGAAGAACAAACCCCCCTTATTTTTGCGAGATCTATCCAAAAACGCAAAAATATTTCGAAGATAAGATCAAATAATGCCCCAAATCTGACAAAATTGACCGATACAATGTAGCTCTGATACCAATTGTATGTCCCTAATCTGCCCGTGTATCAGTCAGATCCGTTTGATCGTGCGGAATCCCAATCAAACGGATGATGTCAGATCAAATAGAAGAGAAAGAGAAGAAGAATAATATGAATCTTTAATGTATTGATAATATGAATTAAGTTCCTTACACAAGATTCACCCACACAAACGTTCCTTTCTCTCTGGCCGTAAACTCCTTAGGGTTCATCAATCTATTCCTCACACCCTAATACCTATATTTATACTAAAGGAACATGGGTCGGATAACACATGGGCCGTAAATGAGTTTACGGCCATTTACGGTCGTAAGGTGTTTACGGCCATAAACTCAGTCGTAAACTAGACCATAAATTCATAAATATTACAGAGAAATATAATTGCCCAGAAAAGTAAAGTATAAACTATATTTTGACCCAACATGCCCTTTATTATTTAATTAATGATTTCTTTTTCCCTAAATTCCTATTGGTACATTCATGCACACAATACTTGCTAAAAACATTTAAACCTAGCTCTTTCTCTCTCTCTCTCTCTCTCTCTCTCTATATATATATATATATATATATATATATATATATATATATATATATATATATATATAGAAAAGAATAATATTCTTTATAATTATTGTATTTTATTATGGTAATATTATACATAATTAATGTTTATCATATTTAATTACAATAGTAATATTTTTTATAATGAATATTTCAATTAATGCTTTGTTATATATTCCCTTAAGACCCATTAAAAAATTAATGCGTATAGATTTGCAAACACATGGTTTTCATTAATATCACATGAGTAATCTGTATAGATAAATGGTTTGCAAACACATGGTTTTCATTAATATCACATGAGTAAACCGGCATGGACACAAACCAGCAGGCTCGTATGCCCTTTACATTATTCAAGCCTACATATTAAGAAAATATAACACTCGATCAACAGCCATAAACTTATGTAGGATTAAAACATATATTTGCAAGTATCACACTCCACAGTAGGTTCTTATGGCACATTCAAGTTTTTGGTTTTCCTCCTTGTTATAGAAATCAAGGTATTTCAGATGATCAAATGGCTTAAACTGTAACGGGGGCTCTTCATCCACAAACTCTTCTGGTGTTTCTATGATCCCTTCCAAAAAAGAAAACTAGGCTATCGAATATCTACTTGCATTTCCATTCATAGTAACTCGATGATAAGGTGAATGCAATCTTTCGTTGCTCCAAGCCTGATCACAAGTTTAAAAATCGTCCGTTATTATAGAATAAATTGCTTTTGAAGGCCGATGTGCAAGATCACTAACCATGGCCGCATCACCCGACATAACTATGTATGAGGTTGGCAAGAGCTCAACTGTGAACCACTCGCCATCCCTCTCTTTGATCTCTAAACCATCAACTTGATTTTCATGCAGAACAATGATGAAATCTTTATCCGTATGAGCAACGAACCCCATATTAGTTTTGTTCTTCCCTGGTCTTCTGTACCTCATGCCCCTACGAAGGTATGTCTCCATGTTCCTATGAGCATCCAAGTGCTTCTCCACGCCATAGCACACAAGTGTACATTAATACTTAATATATATGAAATGAAAGAAAGAGATAATCAAGAATAATGGTTACCCAAAAGCTTCGTTTTCATGGGGCCACATGACATCTGTGAAACTACGAACGCCATCAAGGGTGTTGGAGTAATCAAACCCCATGCTTTCGTAGAGTGGAATGAAAGGGATTTGGCCATTTTCTAGAAGGCATGGGGGGCAATTAAGTAATTTTGAGTATCTATTATTTTTATTTACTTTTATCGTAAGTCAGGTTGAAGTAATCAAAGGCTATGTAGGCCATTTTCCTTTTTGTAGCTTAGTAGTCATGTGGGTAGTTGTTTCCCTTATTTCTAGCATGAAGTTTAGATAAGTAGCAGGTTGTTTTCCCGTTTTTGATAAGCATAATAAAACTCAGAAAAGTTTTCCCCAAAAATATCTCTCTCTTTCTCTATTGTTTTAGTACTGGGGTTATTTTTATACCCCACATTTGGTATCAGAGCTCACGGTATAAGCCAAAGTACCAACCAAGACCAACAACTATGGGAGATAAAAACGAAAAGGAAAGCCAGGTTATGCTTCATTACCCGATGTTTTCCAGAAACAATTCTGCTGCTTGGGCGATAAAGATGAAAGTCTTCATGCAAGCCCAAGGCGTGTGGGATGCAGTTGAACCTAGAACTGCGAACATAGTAGTCGAACAAAAGAAGGATAAAATGGTAATGGCGGCCATCTAACAAGGGATACCGGAAGACTTATTGTTGTCATTGGCTAAGAAACAAACAGCTAAGGAGGTGTGGGAAGCACTGAAGACTATGTTCCTTGGAGCGTACAGAGTAAATACAGCAAGAGTTCAAACTCTTAAGGCCGAGTTCGAAGTCTTATGCAAGAAATAAGTGGACACCATTGATGAGTTTGCTGGGAAAGTAAACAACATTGTGAGTAATATTAGGGCATTGGGAGATAAACTAAAAGAGTCGTATGTTGTGAAGAAATTGCTTAGAGTTGTTCTAGAAAAATTCTTGCACATTGCCTCTACAATAGAGCAGTTCACTGATCTCGAGACTATGTCTGTTGAAGAAGTGGTGGGACGGTTAAAAGTCCATGAAGAGAGGGTACGTGGTCGAGGGGAAAACAGTGAAGGAAAAGTGTTGTTGAACCAGCAAGTGTGGCTTGAGAATAGTAAAAAGAAAAATGATGAGGCTCAACGGATGTCACAAAAGAATGGTAGGGGAGGATACTCAAACACACGTGGTCGGGGTCATGGCCATGGAAGAGGCGGTTGGAACAATTGTGGTGGACGGAGGGGTGGCGGCCCTCATCAGCACCACAGTAATCGACATGATACAGGGAGTAGCAGAAACAAAACCAGAGTACAATGTTACAACTGCCAAGATTTTGGCCATTATGCCTCAAAGTGCAAGAACCCACAGAAGGAAAGGAATCAGGAGGTGCATCTGACCCAAGGCCAAGATGAAGATGAACCAGCACTTTTGTTAGCTAAGTTTCAACCAGTTGAAGCCCAAGAGGAAGTGTATCTGAACAAACAACATGTAGTACCAAAGTTAAAGAGTTCAAAAGATACAGAGAATCGGACGAAAGTATGGTACCTGGATAATGGGGCATCGAACCACATGACAGGCAACAAAGATAAGTTTCAGGAACTTGATGAAGGTATTCGGGGTTACGTAAGATTTGGAGATGGTTCCAAGGTGCGAATAGAAGGCAAATGATCCATTGTCTTTCAATGTAACACAGATGAAAGACGAGTGCTATTGGAGGTGTATTTTATCCCAAGTCTATGTAACAATATAATAAGCTTGGGGCAATTAGCGGAGACTGGTGATGAGATTCTCATGAAAGGTTCTTTTTTATGGGTTTGTGACAAAACTGGAAGACTCTTAATGAAAGTAAAAAGAACCCCTAATCATCTCTACAAGATCATTCTAAATGAGGCAAGACCAAAGTGTTTTCTAGGGAGCAGTAAAGAAACATCATGGTTGTGGCATGCTCGCTTAGGGCATGTGAGTTTTCAATCACTTAAAAGGATGGCAAAGAAAGAGATTGTACTGGGATTGCCCAACGTGGAGCATCATGTACAGCTGTGGAAAGGTTGTATAGATGGTAAACACTCTCGGGACCCATTTCCTACACACACATTTTATAGAGCCAAGGCTAGATTAGAACTGATACATGCGGATCTTTGTGGTCCGATCACGCCTTCTACAACATCTGCAAACAGGTATTTCCTATTACTTGTAGATGACTTCAGTCGTGTGATGTGGTTATATTTGTTAAAAGATAAGGATGAAGCATTAGGGGTATTTCGAAAATTCCGTTTGCTTGTTGAGAATGAAACATGTGAAAAGATGAAAGTGTTATGAACAGACCTAGGAGGTGAGTTCTTCTCGAAACAATTTGAAGCGTATTGTGACGAATCAGGCTTAAAACACCATTTTACAGCACCATATTCGCCGCAACAAAACGACATTGTAGAAAGGCGTAACCGTACAGTTGTGGAGATGATACGAGCATGTTAAGTAGCATGGAGATTCTGAAAGTCTCGTGGGGAGAAGCAGCACGACATGCAACTTATATCCTTAACCGTGTGACAACGAAAGCATTGGGAGACAAAACACCTTATGAGGTGTGGTCTCGGCGGAAACCAAATCTGGAGCATATTAGAGTGTTTGGGTGTTTAGCTCATGCAAAGCTTATGCGAGGGAACTTGCAAAAGCTTGATAATCGTAGTGAGGTATTGGTACACTTAGGAATGGAAGCAGGAAGTAAAGCCTACAGGTTGTTGGACCCAAACACGGGAAGGATACGAGTGAGTAGAGATGTGTATTTCGAAGAAAACAAGGTTTAGCCATGGGAATCATCTAAGAAAATTCGAGCAACTCCTGGAGTAATTCTCACATTTGGAACCATGGTACAAGATCAAGAACACGAGGTACAAGGTGTTGACCCACTCACTCCTTTAAACCATGCAACAGGTGATGACTACGTAAGTGAAGAAGTGGTTCACGAATCCCCATTATAACAAGATACCCAGCCAAGTGATCATCAACAAACACCGATCCCAGCAACACCAACAAGCTCTATAGGGTCCACTAGTCCAGCCTCATCATCAATGGGAGGCGGTGCACCAAAACGATACAGAACCTTGGCTGAATTATACGAAGAATGTGATGAGATTGTATTCCTGCAAGACATGGATGAACCCGTTAATTATTCCATGGCTTCGACAAAAAGAGAATGGGTCTAGGCAATGAAGTCGGAACTTGAAGCAATTGAGAGAAATCACACATGGAAGCTCGTTGATTTACCGGCAGGTCGAAAGCCTATTGGCTTGAAATTGGTGTATAAGTTAAAAAAAGATCCGCAAGGAGAATTTTTGAAGCATAAGGCGATATTAGTCGCAAAAGGGTATGTTCAAAAGCAAGGGTTGGATTTCGATGAAGTATTTTCTCCCGTCGCAAGAATTGAAACAATACGAATCATACTCGTCATAGCAGGTAAACACGGGTGGCTGGTTTTTCATCTCGATGTCAAATTTGCCTTCCTAAATGGAGAGTTAAAGGATAAAGTATATGTATCCCAACCCGGAGGATTCATAAACCCAAAGTAACCTGAAAAGGTGTTGAAATTATCCAAGGCTCTCTATGGCCTTCGCCAAGCACCTAGAGCCTGGAACTCATGTCTCGACAAAAGTCTGAAAGCTATGGGTTTTCAAAGATGCCCTCAAGAGTATGCGGAGTATACAAGAAGCAAGAATAGTAAGCTCTTAATCATTGTATTTTATGTTGATGATTTGATTGTGACACGTAATTGTGAAGTGGATGTATCTAAATTCAAGCAACAAATGAATGATGAATTTAAGATGAGTGATCTTAGTACTCTCTCATATTACTTGGGAATAGAAGTAGCTCAACATCAATATGGCATAAGTATAAAGAAAACAGCGTATGCCAAAAGTATCCTCACAAAAGGTGGAATGACGGAATGCAATCCTTCTTTATATCCCATGGAACCGAAGTTGGAGCTTACCAAGGATGAAGAAGGCACACCGGTAAACCCAACGGAGTATAGAAGCATTATTGGTGGACTTCGATACCTTACACACACCAGGCCTGACATATCCTACGCAGTGGGCATGGCGAGTCGGTTCATTGAAAGACCCATTGTACAACTTCAATAGGTCGTCAAGAGGATACTGAGGTACATCAAAGGGACCATCGATTTTGGTCTGATTTATGAAAGGGGAAAAGATGAAACTGAAATCATTGGGTATTCAGATAGCAACCATGCACGAGATTTGAATGACAGAAGGAGTACAGGTGGCATGGCATTTTATCTAAATGCAAGCTTAGTAGCATGGGCCTCACAGAAACAAAGATGTGTGGCTCTCTCATCATGTGAGGCAGAATTCATGGCTGCTACGTCAACAACGTGTCAAGGGATATGGATCCGTCGGCTAATAAAAGGAATAACTGGTGAGAAAATAAAATCGGTGACCCTCTACCTCGATAACATGTCAGCGATTGACTTAGTTCGAAACTCGGTTTTTCACGGACGGAGCAAACACATAGATAGAAGATACCACTTTATCAGGGAGTGTGTAGAAAGGGGAGAGGTGGTCGTTAATTTTGTATGCAGCAAAGAACAAAATGCCGACATATTCACAAAGTCCTTAGCCAAAGTCAACTTCATAGAGATGCGAAGACTCCTTGGGTGAAAGACACGAAGAGTTCTGGATTAAAGTGGAGTCTGTTGGGTTAATCCAGAAGACATGGGGGGAAATTAAGTAATTTTGAGTATCTATTATTTTTATTTACTTTTATCGTAAGTCGGGTTGAAGTAATCAAAGGCCATGTAGGTCATTTTCCTTTTTTGTAGCTTAGTAGTCACGTGGGTAGTTGTTTCCCTTATTTCTAGCATGAAGTTTAGATAAGTAGCAGGTTGTTTTCCTGTTTTTGATAAGCATAATAAGACTCAGAAAAGTTTTCCCCAAAAATATATCTCTCTCTTTTTCTCTATTGTTTTAGTACTGGGGTTATTTGTATACCCTCTGGACTTGTTTTGTACTTTGGTTTCGATTGGCAGATCAAACAAGTCTTGTAATGCTTGGAATGTAGCACCTGGTTCTTGGTATGTAAATCTTA